TATATAACTTATATAATTAATTTATATATATATATATAAACTAATAGTTATATAATAGGTTTTTGAATTATAAGAAAGAGCATTTAAATTAGCGAATCATGTCGCTTAAAGTTCGCGCGTTTTGCATTGTATAACACCTGAACGTGCGACCTTTAAACGATATGTTTCACCAATTTTCATGTATAATTTAAAAGCTGTTATTGTTTTCGATATATTATTATTATTATTGTTTTCTTGATATTAGAATTTTCGTCTCAAAATGATCTCGAGAATCTATTTTCTTAAACGTTGTTACGATTTTTATCTGGACACTCTCTGTATACAATAAATGCTTGAAATATTTTAGTCGTAATATAAAATCAGAATTATTTAATGAGCAGCTAAATATATGTAATGCAGTGTGAAAGTCTGCTTTGTAAGATTTTAATATTTACCATACTTAAGGTTCATTATTTTCCTCTGCAAGATGTAAAAATTATTCATTCTGTTGTGGAGAAGATTAAATTGTTTATCGCATATAAATGAAAAAAGCTGAATTATCTGTAATGTTATCGTAATGTTTCTGTAGGATATTCTAAAAGCAGCTATTTTACACATAACAAACGTATTATTTATATGTTTTTGTGACACGACGTCTACATTTAAAAAAATAAGAAATACGCATATAGAGAAAAATAACAAAATATAAGACACGCTACATTCTTGTTATCGCATTTAAATAAAATGTATGTAAATAATAGAGCTTATATGTGTAAACATAAGTATCACATACCAATTTTTATAAACGATCTATAACAGTTTATAACGATTATTAGCGAGAAAGTTATCATTCCTTCTTTCGGAAAGGAGTTCTAATAAATGACTATATTGAGTCAAGAATTAAATATCATTTATTATTTTATCACATTCTCAATTATCTACCATACAAACATGTTCGTACCATTTCCTATCATTGCCACGCCTTTTTAAATTGAATTTCATTAACAAAATATTTCTTGGTGTATTAGCAAGAACTTATCACTTCTAATTGTGATTAATACGATATATTATCTGTACAAATGTAAGTCAACAGAAATTTAAAAACTTCAATCGTCACCGAAAAAAAGAAAAAATTGTGCTTGCCAACGGCGTATACACGCGTGAAAGACTAAAGACTTCTTATAAAGAAGAGTCGTATAAAGAAGAAATAACAGATCCACTTGCAGCTACCTCAATTCATTGGTGATGGAAATAGCAATCTTTCTAAAGTACTTCACGTGTATATTGCATGCGACATTCTTTTCCTTTTTTAATTATATAAGCAGTTCGTACAAAAAATAGCGTCCTGCTTTGTGCAATCACATAATCACGCACAATTGTCAATTAAATAAGATCACATAAACAAAAGTAAATTGCACATTTAATGCGCTGTTCGCTGTAGTACTTAATTCTCTACCTCTCAAAATATTAATCGTTAATCTTTCGTAAGGCCAATCATTCTTCTTATCGAAAAGAATAACTTTTCACTTTCATCGGAAAAAGTCAGCAACAGAAAATAACATTCTCAAAAGAGCAGCGTTTCAGTTAACACATTTAAAGTAGAATTTACTCCTCTCTGTGTATCTTCCATTTTCTCAAATACACGCTCTTTCAGACATAGGCCTCAATGTGTAAACAGAACTTATGCTATATTACAGAGTCAAAACTTTCAAGTCGCAAAGCCCGACAGAACAGTGAGACGTGTAACATCGCCGCCGAATCGAATGTACAACGAAGAGATAATAAGCTGTCACCATCCAACATCACCGAAAGAACATCGTAAACATTGGCACATTTTAAATTATTTTATCTTTCTGATTATTCTCTTTACGGCGCCAAGTGCGCGACGGCAATGGCACGCAAATCGTCTCGATTATCATATTTACCTATTACAGTATAGAGAGTTTCTTCTGTATTTTGTAACTTCTTTGCGATAATAAGACGGCAAAATTCATTCCCGAGAGACGATCACCGAATGAATTCCCTTGTATATTTGTGTTTTCTAGCGTAACGATCGCAAGCCTTGTGAAAAATAACAATGAGAAAAATACAGTAGGAAGATATTATGTTGGGCATTAACGCACCGCGTTAATGTTACAAATACGGTACGACTCTCACTTTCTAGACAATGTTTGAAATGTTTCGCTAATAATGTACGCGCAGATGCCAAAGGATCCACGGCTAAAGAGAACCTTCGACATCGTCCTGCACATCATGTTATATATTTCTATCGTTCTCGTTCTCGCTCTCGCTCTATGCACACAGCAGTCAGATTGGCCTTTACATACTTTTAATTTTTTTTAGATAAGATTTCACTAACAATTCGTTCTCGTCACTACTTAGAATCAGCTTATCTTTACATCACATTTACAGTATTCCTGCCGATATGTGTTTGTTCACGTGGCACGGTACTTTGAATACAAGCTAAAGTTCCGGTCTTGAGATCCCATTTTTTAAATATTTTTTTTTCTATTTTTCTTTAGAATTTTCATCAGAGCCATCACAACGCGTTTATTAGCGTAAAACGAATGTTTTCTAGCGAATCTCTCTTATTAGATGACATGATGTTGATTACACGCGAAGCACTTCAGCACTGAAATTGAATTGAACGCAGGGGTGTTTATTCGAACGACTACTGCACGATTAAAATAATATTCTATTTACTGAACTACTGTACTGATAAGAGAAGTACGTATATCACATCTGCAATTTTTAATCCTTTGCACACACTAACGTGTAATTTGCATTGCGGATCGCTGTACGTAAGTCTTTTATAAGTACGTCCACTTGAGCACTTGAAATATTTAAGAGCCTTAATCAAAAAAACTTATCTTGCGCAATGTAACGGATATTCGAACACGTCTTGTGATAAGCACCTACTAAAGTTTCTACTAATGGCACGTATGGTAATGTACCATCATCATGTCATCCAAGGCACTTCAGAAGTCAATTTATACAATGAAAGACACCAATAATATAGTTCGGTGAGTCAGCGGCGTACCGAGGTACTTGGAGAAGCGTATAATTAACAGTAATTAGCGGTAATCATAAATGTCATTCACTTATGCGCTTATCGCATATCAGGTAAAGTTACTCTACGGCCGTGCTCTAGTGTCCGTCGTTATTAAGTTTAGGGCTGCGATCGAGAACATGAGACTTGACATGAAGTAATAAAAAAGTACGTGGTCTAATCATAAACTTTTTCAATTGGTGTTTCGATTATTATTCCTTCTTTTTCCGCTATAAAAAAAGCTACGCTTTAAAATCGAAACTAAGCTAAGATCTTCCAAACAGATAAGATTCACTAGAAAGAGATGTTCTCCAACGCATCCCTAAAATCGCACATTCTTCTCTCTACAATTCTTTATAGTCCCTTTATAGTCCCTTTACATCGAGAAGTGCCCGCTGTACGGACGGATACCTAACATGATAATGCCAAGAGATTATTATATAGCTTAATTCGAAGAGAAAAAGAGAATACACTATAATAACAGAGATGCTCGCTCGATAAAGTGCAATTAGCGTTCTTTTTTTGTTTTTCTCTTTTACATCTTTCGATGCTCCAATCTTTTAACGAGAGCCACATGTTTCAAGTGTTTTAAATCTTCCAACTAACTATAAAACGCAGAAATCGCTAGTCGGTTTCTGAATTTATTCGTGGATATGTTTCGCAAAGGATAGTTCAACTTTGCGATTAAACAGTGGTTAACATTGTTCAGCTGCGTGCCTCAGCATATACACACTTGTGTCCCAATTTACTAAATTTAATTACGATATTCATTCCAGCAATCAATCGCATTTCCACGAAGGGACACGCGACTAAAATATATTTTGATTAAGGCGTGGTTTTTACGTGCTTTATGAATTTACTTTAATAACGACGTAATAGCACGAAATTCTTGAACTCGAATTATAACACTGTACATATATTTATATTTCGTGCGAAAAAGAATTAAGATTCTCGATTTTACCAGTCTTGATACGAATTCGATAAAATTACTAATCTACAAATTTACTTTGGAATCATTGTCTGAACGAATGTAACCATTTCCTGTAATTTTCTAGATGTTCAATAAAAATACATTTTTCACATTTGACCATCACGTCATAATAAAAAAAAAAATGACGCAAAAATAATGATATTAAGGGTTCTTATGATGTTACAACAGCAAATATTTTTTTTCTAAATTTTATTATGTCACATTAAAGTATTTTACTTTTAGCTTTAAAATGCATCTTATTTCGTTTCGATATTTTTCATTCTTGAGATATAATAATTTGAAAATATTATATTTTCAATCAATTTCATACATTTTTTTTATATAGTATAATCTGATTATATTATATAATAAAAAAAAGCACTTATTTTCCACTTTTCCACATCAATTACTTCCTGCAATATTTAAATGGAATAAAGTATATACCTTTTTCATATATTACTTGACAAAAGATTTATTTTCAAATTGTTATATCTCGAAAGCGAAAAATCACATCGAAACAAAATGCATTTTTATTAAAGTTAAAAGTTGGTATTTTCACATGCATTAACAAAATTTAGAAAAAAAAATTTACTACTGGTTATAAAATCATGGAAGCACTCAAAATTATCATTTTTTTTACCTTTTTAATATCATTTTTGTCAAAACTATAACGTGATATACCAAATTTGGAAAATGAATTCGTATTTAGCTAGCAAGAATACATTATAAAACAGCTAAAATTGTTTTAACAATATTTTATTGCAGACTAGTGTTAACATCGCAAAGAGAGCATTTTTTACTGTATTTCTGCTGACATAACATGAAAATAATAAAGACATGATAAATAAGTCAGAGGGTCATTAACATTTTTCTTTATCTCTCATCGATTCATATATTAATGAGATAAATACTCGCGTTGTTTATAAATCGGTACTAGGAATGAATTGCACTTTCGAGCCGATTTCTTTCTTGTATCTTAGCAAAAATAAAACGATACAAGCGATAAAAATAATTACTCGATTTTCCATTGTCTGTCTAACATGCCATTACAATATTATTTTATAAACGTGACACTTTCAATGTTTAAAAATAATATATTACTATATTTTTATAAGTGATATTGTTTGTTAATAACAAAATAATTGTAAAAAATGTGTATGAACTAAGTCAGTAATATACAAGTATCAAAATGTCATAATATACGATTAAATCAAGGCAAATAATAGAGCAACTAATACTAATGCTTATACGAAAATAATTAAGATCACGATATGATACATTACAGAATTGTTTCTCATGTCGTCTTAAAATCAGGCACGCAAGATAGTCTATG